CAAATAATTTCCACATTAATTCAACTACACAAGGTTTCCTAGTTACAGAGAGAACATTCTGACAACTGGAATAAAACATTTTAGCCAACGGAGCAAGGACATTTCAGGTGGAAAATTAATTATGTTCTGGTTGCTATCTTGCAAATGTTAAAATCAAGGTTTTAACCTGTTCCTAAAGAGGAAACGAACATTTGAGTGTCTATGCCACACACTGCTAGACAATTTTATATGCTTATTTTCCTAAAGCCACAGCAGATCATATCATTATTGCATTTTACAAATGAGAAATGAAACAGTGATTTTAAGTAACTGTTCCAGCTTATTTTACATGGGTAACAGTTTCTACTAACTATGCAACACCTTCCACCTAAGAGTATGACCACACCTATCTATAAGTAATGCTTGGAAAAAACCTATGTCACCAGCACTGCAACTATATGCCCCAAAGCCTTCAAGAAACTTACACGAGGGTAGAAACTAAGACATGGGTTCCCAAGATATGAATTCTACATGTTTAGTAGAAAGCTGGGGAATATTTTGCCCCTTACATCCATATATGCCGTCAGATGTCCCAGGACTCCCAGAAAGTACATCAAGGACTTAGTCTCCAGGTCTTCTAGCAGTAATTTTCAAACAGGATTGCACCACTAGTGCCCAGACTCCCAAGGCTATAAAGAGAACTGGAAACCCTAAAAACCGTTATGAGACAGGCTCAGACGCAAAGAGGTGGTGGTGACATTTCCAGCAACTGCCAGGACTCTGCTCCCAACAGAGAGACCACACTCCCCTGCCGCAGACAGTGTCACAGACCTAAAAGCTGTTTGTTCAAAGCTCTGATCAAAGCCTGGACCCCTTCGATGAAGTTTGCTTTGAATTAAATAAGGGGCTGACCAAAATACTCTCTAAGGAAAAGGGAATTTAACAGGTGTCTACAATAAATGATTTTCTAAGTTTTTGAAATTTCAACTTCTGTGAAGACATGAAAGTCGATGAAGCCTTCAACTGCCTTCACAAATCCCTGACATGCGTAACCAGTCTGTCTACAAAAGTTCTGCTCTGAGGTTTCCATGAGGTCTCCTCAAGTCACAGCCAAAGTTTGTCTTCCCAATTAAACTGGCTATTAGAGGCCAACTTTTAAAGAGAAAAGAGTCAACATTAATTGGAAAGCAAATCACCTAACAGTAAGTGGTAGACACCTTTTTCAATTAAAAATCAGACAAGAACTCACAAAAATAAAACAGCATCTCCAAAATGCCATATTGCCTATTTCCCATTTAGAAAGGCTTCCTGCTCCAACTTCACACTAAACAAAGGTTGGGGAAATCAATAGAAACGTAGGAAAACGCTGTGTGCCCGTAAATGTATAAAACAGTCAAAATTATACATCAGCAGGGAATCAGGACTCTATCCACCCAATTAGTTCCTTTTAAAGGGCCAGGAGCTAGACTTAGAACCAAAGGCTGTAGTTAGCAGCGACCTCCCGCAAACTCGATGCTGGGCACTGTCTGTCCCCTCACCAAAGCCTGACCTCAAAGCCCGAGGAGCTCTTCGGCAATGCCCAGAGCCCACCCTTTGAAATATCTGACTGTCCTGACATATTTTTATTCAGTACTTTTTAATGGTTAAGAATTTCATTTATGAGTCCCAAGGAACTTAAATACCCATCTACCAAATATGACACTTTTCAACACAATTACACTATCCATCTTTAAATTATCTTCACTTTTAAATGCTTTAAAGTGATGGACTATCACACTAAAATAGGAGTCCTTACTTAACTATTTGATACCATGGCTGAAAACAGTGATGAGATTTGGATATGCCCTTTCTATACCTACTCTGTCTTTAGCTCAAACCTCATTCACCTGTACTTTTTCTTATCCAGGGTTAAAAGATGACATAAAATGCTTTTATGTATATATAGAAATATATATATAGCATCATACTAATTAATAATGTAGTCAAGCAATGACATTTTCTATATATCTGAGCAAAACAACTGAGATTTTTAACATTGACTATTCAAAAAACAACTGCTCAGTGATAGAAAAAGCCAAAGCTAAACTAATCCAACTTTTCCAAGGGCAATGGACTCCATCACTAACAAGTAAGTTACTTTGTGACAAAATCATAGGCCCAAGGAAACATGAAAGAGAGCTGGCATGTACCAGCTACATCTTCAGGACTGCTCAGATTTTATAAACAGGAACCTAAAACGGGCTTTCCTTTTTGAGGCTTGTTGACAAAGCAACGAGGAAAGCTACAGCCTTTGTGAGAAACTCTGGAAAGAGGTTAAAAAGAAGAGGAGATAATCAAAGTTTTATATGAAGAATTAATCATGAATACAAGGTTACAAGAAGGATAACATGAAGAATACAAACAGAGCAGACAGGCAGAGCAGCAATTTCAGAGTGACAACACGATTCACTCACAAGAAATACGGATGCCCCGTTCCTTTTCTCCCATCTTACTGAGATATAATTGACATATAACATTGTCTTTGTTTCAGGTGTAAGACATTACAATTTGATATGTGTATACTGCAAAATGATTGCCACAGCAAGTTAACACCCATCACTTCACAGTTACAATTATTTTCTCCTGATGAGAACTTTTAAGATCTACTCTGTTAGAACACCCGCCACTGTCTTCTTCCCTGAAGTACTCACCCCGCCCCAAACACCAAAGTACAAATACCAGCCTCCTCTCATTCACTGCCCCCACTGTCTATGAAATTTATACCACTGGGGCAGATCAAAGGCAGGGAGACAACAACAGAGAGAGTTAGCAACACCCTCACTCCAACCCCAACATTTTCCTGTGATTCAAAGAAATGTTGAAATATATACATCAGTACTCCAGTACCACCAACAGCCAGTCTTTAACAGGATCATATGTCACCATGAACCCTAGTCCTTACTAAACTCACCCAGGATGCTAGGTCTGGACACTCCACTACACCATGCTAGTAACAGATACAATACGTGTCATTTAAGTGGCCTGAGGTGATCAAAGGAAGAAAAATGAAAAACAATAAGACACAACAGAAGATGGAGTAAAAAAAATGCCTAGGCCTAAATCAAGGTGACAATGTGAAGGTAACGCAGATGTGCTTAAGAGATGGATGGATAACCACAAATCATATTCCACACCACCCAGCAGTGATGCCCCCTGAAGAACACACAGGAACAGCCAACCAAAGGCAGTACGTTTGTGGCTCAGCATCAGCAAAAAAGCTTTAGTCTGGTTTTTGTTTTTTTCAAAATAGGATATTTAGGTTAACTTGATTGGCATTTAAGAAAAGTGATATATATAGCATAAAAGAAATGGGTAAAGCTTACAGAATCTTTTAAGTACACATTTGAGATTGTCCATTGTATATAGCTGTTACCTTCCCCAACCCCCACTCCTCTTTCATTGGAAATAAGCACATATTCTCTGAGAATACCCTTGTATTTCACTGTCTCTTCCAGTCTTTTGTCATAGTTTTTATTTGCATATGTTATCCCTCAAGGGTACCATCATATCTGATTTGTCTTTGCAAACTCAGGGCATTCATTCATTTGTGCAATAAATATTTACTAAGTATGTGTTAAGCACCAGGCACCATACTACAAACCGGCATTAAAGCCATACTGTCTCAGTGAACGTTGACTATAAGGCAAAAGAAACAAACAAGTTCAAAAAAGTAACCAAATTAATTCATATTTTATAATTCCATGGGAAGCTACAAATATTCTAGTTGGAGTTTAGTATCATGAAACATCTACACTACCTGAATATTGTTCCAACAAGACTGTAGGTCCAGAATAGAGTTTCCTCTGTATGGCCTACCAAGTATATTAAGTATTTTCAGACAAAGAACGATTGTCTTAATTCTAAAAAAAACCCCACAACTTGGTTGTAATGATTTAATATGCCATTAACCTTAAACTAGAGCCCCCTAAATAACACCCATGAGATGGGTCTCTATCAGTCCATGAGAGGTACACTGTTTTATAAGTACATTTTATAAGTTATACATTCATTCATTCAAGAGCTTCTTAACTACCAGGAAGTGTGGGGCGTGGTTTTTAAAAAAGATCATCAGGACCCTCCAGAAGCCCTCCAAGCTCAACTAAGTTTAGCATAGGCGCGGCGGGGGTGGGTGGGGCGTGGGGGGAAGGACCGGGGTGGGGTTATTTTACAAAATTAACATTCAATGAGTTGACATTCAAATGCCAACATAAAACGTGCCTTAATACATACTATTCAGGTTGTTTTTAATCACTGCCTGTATCATCCTTAATGGTGTTTGAAAAGGTTCCCCTGCTCTTAATTTAACTTTTTCTTTCTTTAAAGAGCCCCTAAAAGGTCCACCACTCCCACTCTCACCATACATACATATTCTGGGAAAACCACGTACTTAGAGGATAACGTGAAATGTATTTTGTTCTGTTTAAGAATATAGATCGGGATAGGAAAGCAGAACAAAAATCGAAAAACGATGTGTGCCTTGATACCCACATCAGCTCACTACAGGCTCTACTATTATATGAGGCTGTGGCCACTCACAGGTGGTTGGAGGTGTCCAAAGTGTGAGAACGCAACCTGCAACTCGTGACAACAGTTTCGGGACTTCAGGGCCTTCCTTACACCCTGAACTCCCGGAAAAAAAGGCTCCTTCCTCAGTGAGCGCTGCTGAAGGTAAATCAATAAATGTAAGATTAAATGGACACACCTGGCTTTCTCTACCAAACCCCAAAGAGCGTGCTTTCAGGGCCCGGACACCCTAATAGAAAGCGCTGGCCCTAATGAAAAGACGGTGAAGTGGGGCTCCTCCCTCTATCCAAACCCCAGAGAAAAAGGGGGGACTGTGGGGACACTTGGGAGGGGCTGGGGGGAGGCAAGGAGGGAAGGGTCAGCAGGTAGAACCCAGCTAACCCTTCTCCCTTCCAAAGCGGAGATCGAGCCGCTGCCCGCTGCCCCCTGTCCCTGACCCTGCCTCCTGCCTCCCTCACCTGATCACAGAGATGAGCAGCCCCGAGGGGTCTTTGCTTTTGCTGACTGTGCTTCTGTATTTCCCACCAGCTCCTTCGGCCGCCATCTTCCGGGGGGTGAACCGGTGGGCTGGAGGGAACCAAAGCGAGCGTAAACTATGTAATTGACCGCGACGGAGAGTTCACCAATGGGAGAAGATGAATACAGAGCCCGAACTGAATAATCCAATCACTGGAGGGAGAAGGCGGGACTGAGGCCGTAATTCCCAGGCCCGACACGCCCTCTAAGCACTCTGGGAATTGTAGTTCTCCTTCCTCTGTTCCTGGACATGCAGGAAGATTCAACCGGGAGAGTGACGTCTGCTCAGGAGTGTCTTATTTATATTTATTTGTTTTTTTTAAATTTTTCCTTGTTTTTAGAGTTTTATCCAATTTTTAATCATATTTCTCAGACAATGCCAAAATGTGTATGTGGGGGGTGCTGAGGGCTGGGAATGCTTGATGTCTGTGCAAAGTTTTTAGACACAAGTAATAAAACATAAAATGCAAAAATGAAAAGACAGAAATAGTTCAGTGTGTACTCTAAAACTACATGTTTCTGCAGGCATGTGATGTCTGAGTTCAGTTATTTTTCAGTGTTGCTGTGTTTCCTAAGAATCACACAAGTATCAAAACAAAAATATCTTGGTGAAGGGGGGACCCTAGTAAACATAATGTTCTTCATATAATTGTAGATTAATGATAACAAAATTTAAAAAAGTAGACATCAGTTAAACACAAAACCAAAAAAACGGGAAAAGAAAAAGCCACATTGCAGATGCCTTTTCTTCCTAAGCTAAATAAAATAGAGAGCAATACTGGACATCTGTGCCTTATTTTTTTTTTACAGGTAACTTTTCACATATTCTGCATTTGACTCTTCTGGCTTGGTCATTAATAAGAAGATTAAATGAACAAAAACAAACATGAAGTATGTAGGAAAGTGAGTAAATTAAGAAATAAGGAGAAAAATAAATATTGAGAAGGAGGAAAGGAGGTCGTCTGCTTAGTAATGGTCAAGAATAAAGAAGTTCAGAGAGGACTAGAAAGCAAGCTCAGAGGTCCAGGAGTTGTGAAACAGTAAGCATAGTGCACATCAACTACTTTTATTAAGCAAATAACAAGCTGGTAGAAGTTCACAATGATATTTTTAAATCAGTTTTATAAATAGATAATATAATTATACATATATATAAAGACATATATTTTTTAAAGTATTTATAGCCTTTGGCTAAGTTCTAGGGACTTGGTTCCTAAAAAAATAGAGGTATAGAAAAAATACTGAAATTTTGGAAATAACATACAAGTATTAAATAAATTATGGAACATTCCATATGAGGATATAACACATAGCCACTGAAAATCATTTCAATGGCTTTTAATGAAAAGAAGATTTTTCATGGTATAACTGTAAAAAGCAGGCTATAAAATTAAATGACTCAAAAAAAAATTAAATGACTCATACTGAGAGAGAGGTAACTGGGCCTAGTGGCTAAGAATGCAGGCAGTAGGGGGGAAAAAATCATCTCAGTTGATGCAGAAAAAGTATTGATAAAATCCAACTCCCTTTCACGATGAAACACTCAGAAAACTAGAAACAGAAGGGAACTTGTCCAACATGATAAGGAGAGTTATTAAAAACTCAGGGCTAATATCATACCCAATGGTGGAAAACTGAATGCTTTCCAACTATGATGGATCACAAGACAAAGATACCCACTTTCACCACTTCTAGTCAACAAAATACTGAAAATTCTAGTCAGAGCAACTAGGCAGGAAGAAGAATAGAAAGCATCCAAATGTAAAAGGAAGAAGTAAAACTAGCTCTGTTTGTAGACAACATGATTTTACATGTGGAAACCCTAAAGAATTTTAGGAAAACAATAAATCTGGAGGACTCAGACTTTCTGACTTCAAATGTTACAATACAGTAATCAAAAGTGTGGTACTTGCATAAAATAAACACATAGATAAATGGAATGTGATTGTAGGTGCAGAAATAAACCCATTCATCTATGAACAGTTCATTTTCTACCAGGATGCCTGTATCATTAGTCAGGAAACAGTAGTCTCTTCAACAAAGGATGCTGGGAAAACTAGATATCCACATGCAAAAGAAGGAAAATGGGCCCTGTCTTAGTCCATTCAGGCTGCTATACCAAAATCACACAGACTGGGTAGCTTAGAAACAGCAGAAGTTTGTTTCTCCCAGTTTTGGAGGCTGGGGAATCTAAGATGAAGCTGCCAGCGTAGTTGTGTTCTCATGAAGGCCTTCTTCCTGGCTTGTAACTAGTGCCTTTTCACTGTGTCCTCACAGGGTGGAAGGGCTAAGGAGCTCTGCGAGGTCTCTTTTGTAGGAACTCTAATCCCTAATCACCTCCCAAGGACACGGACTCCTACAACTATCATCTTTCCCTTTGGAGGTTAGGCTTCAACATATAAATTTAGACAGGGGAGACACATAGTTAGACCTCACACCATTGATAAAATTTAACTCAAAATGGATCAAAGACCAAAATATAAGGGAAAACTCTTAGAAGAAAGCATAGTGGTGAGTCCTTATGACCTTACATTTGGCAATGGATTCTTAAATATGAGAATGAGCAACAAAAGAAAAAAATAGATGTGTTGGACTTCATCAAAATTAAAACTTCTGTGCATCAAAGGACACTATCAAGAAAGTTTTAAAAAGACAACCCACAGAACAAGAGAAAATATATGCAAATCACATATCTGGTAAGGATCTTGTATTCAGCATATAGAAAGAATTCTTACAACTCAGCAGTTAAAGGCAAAATTTTCAATAAAAAACTGAGCTATGGACTTGAGTAGACATTTCTCCAAAGATATTCAAATGGACAATAAACACATGAGAAGATGCTGCTCTACAGCATTAGTCTTTGAGAAAGTGCAATGAAAACCACAATGAGATACCACCTCACACCCACTAATATGACTATAATTTTTTATAAATGGAAAATAAATGTTGACAAGGATGGGGAGAAATTGGACCCCTCATGCATTGCTGGTAGGAATGTGAAGTGGTGCAGCTGATAATGGAAACAGCTGGGCTATTCCTCAAAAAGTTAAACATAAAACTGCCATATAACCCAGCAACTCCATCCATAGTTACATAGGCAAAAGAAATGAAAACAAGCGCTGGAAAAAAACAACTTGTACACAAACATTCTTTCCAAGAGCCAAAAGGTGGAAACAACCCAAATGAAGTTGGTGTAATGTGTGGTACATGACTGAGGTATAAACAAAATGTGACACAGCCATACAATGGCCTATTACTTGGCCATAAAAGGCTTTAAGACATTATATTAAGTAAAAGAGCCAGACACAAAGAACCACACAGTGTAAGATTACATTTATACAAAGTATCCAGGATAGATGAAGTCACACAGACAGAATGAAAACTAGTGACTCTGGGGCTGGGGAAGGTGGAAACGGAGAATAATGCCTTACAGACAGAGTTTCTTTCGGGAGGATGACAATGTTCTAGTACCTGATAGTGATGATGGTTGCGCAATTTTGTGAACGGCCACTGAATGATACCCTTTACAATGGCTAAAATGGTGAATTTTATGTTATGTGCATTTTACCATGCACATGAGAAAAGAACGCAGGATGTATGTACAGTGGAACTACCTAGATGTAACATCAGCTCTCCACTACCTTAAGTAAGGTACATAACCTTTCTGTGCCTCAGTTTCCTTATCTGACACTCTTATAGGTTATTGAGAGACTGAGTGAGGTATGCACAATCAGCACTTGGGTAAATATCAGCTATTATTACTAAAGGATGGTACTAATTTTGTTTAAAATACTCCTCTGTGAGTATTCTGAGGTTGTGTTGAGAAGCAAGAATATGAATAATTTTTCATTTTTTCTTTACACTTTTCTGCTTTTTTGAAATTTTCTGTGAATAGTTGTTGCTTTTATAAACACAAATACACTTTTTTTGTAAACAGAAAGAACTTTTTTAAGCAGCAAGAATTGGATAAGCGACGAAAATGATGGGCTACTTTTGTCACAACCAGGAAATGCAGTTGTGTGATAATTAAATCAAAACACCCCAGTTAAACTTTAATTCAATAAACTGTTTTTGCTTCTCTATTCCACTTCCTTCACGTCCCACCTCAAGAAATCCTTCCCATTTTACCTTCTACCCCCCATCTTCAGGTGACAGACATACCCTTTCTCATTGCTCCTATTCTACGTCAAATTCTAAACTAATTCCAAATGTGCACTGAACTGTGAGTAATGAAAAAACAAAATCAGGGGAAGTCTCAATGGGTCTGCCCACTTATAACCTTCAGCCCTTAACTACAGACCCAGATGTACCAGATTATTTGGAACCAATCAAAATTTATGAAGATCTGAGGGATTACAAACCTGACTGCATGGAGGAGCTGCCATGCGGTAGAGGGAAAGAACAGAAAAGGAAACAACAAACCATAGCATGTAGTCATTGTCCAAAGAATAAGAGCATAAATACTGCAGATGTTTCGATGGGAACTAAGGAAGGCTAGGATGACTGTAGCCATCTTCAAGGAATAGATGTACTATAATTAAACTGGACCAAAAAAATAAAAATAAAAATGAATAGAGACTGAAACACCCAAAGAGAAAGAGAAAGGCCTGGTAAACAGGCTGACGTACAAAGTGAAAACCTGCATCCCATGGTAAGGGACTCTTTTGACTAGAGAAAAGGATTCATAGAGCAGAAATGGTGTCATAGGTGAAGAGATACCTGGAGATGCGCTCAGCAAGGACCTTGAACCCCATGGCTACGCATTGGATATATTTGTGCAGTCAGGGGAGAAGCAGAGTATGTTCAGGTCTTGTTTTATGTTGTCTATTATATTGTAAACCAGGGCAGACTGTTTCTTATTATTACATTTGTAAATATACCCAGAGGCTCTTAAAGCTAAGGGAACATCCAATTAAATTAAAATGCTTTGACCTCTTTGGATGAGAGGCCCTGTATAAATCTAAGGTATTGATATTCTTATTGTGGGTAAATGAAATGTGTGAGCAAGGCTAGCTCAGCAGCAGAATGGCTTCACTGAGATTCATTCTAAAAATGTCAGGC